TTTCATACTAATCCTAAGCTTGCTGTTATCAAATATACTGCAGATATACTGACAGACCTTGATGACAAAACGTTAATCAGAAAAATGCCCCAGCCATCAGTGTTTTGATAGCATCATGTTACATGCTCCAGGACTGACCCAACAAAAGTCCTTTCAAATCAGGATCTCTTACTACGTTTTCTGCTCTGGTGGATTAGCAAGTAATGAAGAGGATTTCTCAGAGATTGATGTATTATTAATAGAGTTGTTTATTACTTTTCTGTATCAGTTGCACAAACTGATATGTAGTCAAAATAAGACTGAAAATTCCCATGGAGAAAAACAACAAAGCTAACAGCAGAAATGCCAAGAAAGTCAGCTTTGAATTGCATCAACTTGTTACCTCCTGAATTCTCTTGAGGAATAGAGCAGTTTGAAAAGTCTGATGTACTGTGAACATGATGCCTATTAACTGTCACAGTAATGTACAATGCAAAGATGCTGGTTTTGGCAAAATTGAGGGTGACCGAGTTTGGGCTTGGAGAGGGGGGTGCGTTATTTACATCAGGAGTTGTCACTGCAAGTTGGTATTTACCCTCTTTCTAATAGTAGAGGAAAATGGAAATTTCCTCTGTGGTTTACCTAGCTGAATTAATTTGATCCTGCTCTCAAGAATACCTGACAAAGGAAACTGGAAAAAGATGGTGTTAAAAACAACCTGCTTTTACTTAATAGCTTTACCTTAAACTCTTTCAACTATTGTTTTCCCATTGCTTGAATGGATCCTACTTCCCCTGGTAAGCGGAATGGTTTTTGAAGTTTTGGAGCACTGTGAAGGCTTATAATAAGGGAACTGAATGGTGTGAACCAGTATTGAACCTGTTGGGACTTAGCAGCAATGCTATTGCCAGTAGCGCTTGTGAATACACAAGGGACTGTATTGATCGTTTCACCTCTGGTTATTAATCTGCAACCCCAAGTGCATGTCCTTCCTTGTCCTTTTGAGGCAGAATGTTTTCAAAGAAATCAGGACCAAGTTTGAAAAATATTAACCACAAGTTACTTGAGCTCTGGCTGCTTAAAAACTATTAGGTTTACCATTTATTTTTTGCTACCCTCTTTATTCTCACCAAGTTTTCTCTTTCCTCTGTGATTTAAAACATTTTCTGATGTAGGAAAAATGTTTACTTTAGTAGAAATTATAGTTTCTTTTCCATATGTCTTGTATTGTCTTTCAAAACTATAATTTAGGAGGCATGCTATGTGAGAGCCATTTGTATCAAGCTCCTTTCTTGTCTCTGCTTCAGGAAGAAGAGAGACAAATTAATGGTATTGTCCTTTCAGACACGAGAGCCTTTTTCAGAGAAGGAAGACTGCTGGATTGTGGTAGCTTCCTCTTCTAATCTAGGTACTTATCCTTATTTTGTAGAAGTTGAAAAATTGCCACGATCACACTTTCATAAACCATGTGTTCAAGGCTATAAAGGAAAACAGAAACAGTTTGCATGAATTTTCATCCCAAGTTTGTATAAGGAAAAGTGGTGACTGGGGCCTTTTATTCATTTGCAGTTGCACAGTTCAGACCAAGAGCAGCAAACTTAAGGGTTACCAGTAACTGGAGGTACTAAAGGAGCAAGAGCAGAAGAGGAGCAGTGGGAAGTGATGTAAAAAACGTAAAACTGCTATCCTGTTATTTGAAGAATTAAGGTGCGTTTTAATGCAAACAGTGCTACTGTCTAGCAAAATGCCAGGGGTCCTGGAGTAATCTGTTGATTTTTTTATTCAGAGGATTGTTTCCTTTCAGTAGGATTTACAGTTTGTAGACGAGTTATGTTCTGTGCTTGTATGGCAAGAGAGATGCATCAATTTTAAAGAGTATTTTTAAAAACACTAGAAATAGACATGCTTGCTACCTATGTAATCACTGACCTATGACCAGCTGGTTTTTTAGTAAAAAAAACCCAACAAACAAAACAACAAACCAAACCACAAATTATTGCAGTTGCTAACTCCCAAGGCAGTAATGAACTAAAATCTGTGAGGATATGTTGGATTGCTGTTTAAACTAGTGGCTCATTCAGCATTTAGAACTGCTGCCAACAGAGTCTGCTGTTTAATTGTAGCCTTCTTGGTGGAGTTAGAGCAATGCTGCAGCCCCTCAGATAACATTCTACTATTAAATGTACTAAGACGCTATAGTCATGTGCCCAACAGTGCGTAACTAGTGTGTGTTTCTTCCCTGTCTCCCCGCCGCTGCCGCCCGTCCACTATTCTTTGAATGATTAAATATATTACAGCAAGGAAGAGCAGTAGGACCACTACTCCACTAGCCCAAAATTAGCTTTTCAAACCTCATTCATTCTCCCCACATCATTTGAGAAGAGGTTTGTTAACCTACTTCAACAACAAATTCTTCTACCATTTTGGTTTGAGAAGGACTGATTCTGTGGCTTCTGGGGAAGTTCTGCAAGCCAGGGAAATCCTAACCATTGCCTAAGTATGTTCAAATAAATACTCCTCTTGTGCCCAGATTCACTCCATCACTTTTGCCATTAGTTTTACCCTCTATCTCCAAGTTTATCTCCAAGTTAAACTCTACCTCCCTTTCATAACAATATGGCAACAATTTATTGACAGTCGAAATATTTAATGACCAGTTCTAAAGCTTTAGTATATCTTGTACTGCTTAAGAGGCCACGGTGGTAGGAGTAGCATGTTAAAGATTGCCACTAAGGTCAACAGGAGTCTTTGCATGTAACTTACTTAAAGTATTTTTATTGACAGGTTTTTTACAAGCATTTGCTTATTAGTTCACCAAAATAAAGCATATAGCATACAGTGCTTTCACACCTTTAGGAGATAAATAAATGTACCTTGACTTCTTTAATGCATTGATAGCTTAACATAATACAAAGTTTTTTCTTCATTGATGATAATTTTAAATACAGCTTGCTTGCCTTTTGTTTTTTAAAACAAACTTTTATCTTGTTACCTACTATACGCTTCCCCTGTTAACTTATAGAAGTTTAAACAATAACTGGGAAACTGCGGTGATATTTATTGCTAGAGATAAAAAGTTTCTCTATTAGGATGAAACCTGTATATCAAGTTATCAACTGGTAAATTAAAAAAAAAAACAACCCTAAATGTACGCTGTCAATTGACCTGATAGAGAAAAACTTTAAAGAACAACAAATATTTAACCTTCACCTCCAATTTGTGTGTAGAATTTAAAAAAAAAATCAAATTTTCATATTTCCACACTGATTGGTATACATGTTAATTATAGTATTTTTCTGATTTTCATTTAGAATTTACAATAAACTTGTTTGCAATTACAGATAAATAGAGGTATAAAGACAAAATCTCATACTGCATTTCTCTTGAAGTTACCAACTATGTTAAATGTGTAATTTAAGATCATAAACACAATCCCATACAACTTGATCAGCTATCATAGGACTAGCTTCATGTGCTCAGTTTCATGCTGCATAGTTGAGAAAGGAAGAAATTAGGTGGCACTTAGTATCATCTTTAATGGCACTTCTTTCAGCAAAGGATAGTATGCATTGGTATTACTAGCCAGGGTTACTCTTCAAAACAGTATTTTAATATATGCATGAAAAATACATAGAACACAAAATAAAGCAAGAATTCCTATGTTGTGTTTCAGGCTTTAGCTAACGGTACAAGGATCATCATTGCTTGCTTTCACTTCCCCTTCCAGCAGTAAAGTGATCACAGCCTTACTCAAGTAGCTGCATGTTCCTTTTTTTCCAATTGGGTGGGTGTTGTAGAAAGCAGTCATGTCATTCTGCAGGAGAGAGAAAAGATGTTGCCATTAATGTTGATTATGTAAAGCAGCCCAACAGAGGCAAACAAGAGGAACATCACAAGTATGTTAGAAATGCAGATGCATTTTTCAGACTCTAAAGCTATAGTGTAATTCTACTCAATTTTCAGAAATAGCCCACATATGCTTACCTGAACATGTGGAAAACAGATTAGTAAAGCACAGTGCATGTATTTCTTTACGAATTTTCCAATTCTGTACAGATACCACCACCTTAATTTTTTTTTTTGATGTAACAGGTGTCAGAACAACTGCCCTCTTAAAACATGCAGCAAGATGATAACAATGTAGTAACTTACAGTGCTATCACAGTATGTTTGTGAGCCAGGTCTGTAGGTGTATATGTAGCGACACTGACAAAATACTTCTTTGGGAAATACCTTTTTTTTTTTTTTTTTTTTAAATCGAAGAACCAAACCACAGGTAGCCCATGAACTAATTCATTAATCAGATCAACAAAATAGGTTTCCTTCACTGCACAGTTAATGATGTCAAAACATCTGCTTAATCTCAAATTATATATTGGCTGCTGTAGTAAAGGTTCAACTCTAATTCAGGAAACTGGTTACTTTTATTAAATCAAGGGCAGAGATTGTGTGGTGAAAATACTAGATTTCTGTAGTTTTAGGGTGTGTTTGAAATTGCTGGAGTAATTTTGACATAAAATTACACAACAGTAATTTTGATATAAAAGTACTTTGGACATTTATTACATGTTAACAGGGAATTAAGAAAGTTCAAAATATTTGCAAGTCAGTTTAATGGAAGAGCATAGCTCAGCCAAATTCGGAGTTCTTTTAGCAGTGTTTGTTAGGAAAACTTAAGACAGAATATCATCAGAACAATCTTAAATAGGCTACAATTAACTGCCAGCAGGCATATACCTGGGAATATGGGAAAGTCTGGTTCCAGAAGATTGTAATGTAAGGAGTTGGGCTTGCTTTCTAAGAGGCAGAAAGGCCTCATTCTAAGTAGATCTGGGCTTGGGAAAAAAATCCATTGCTTTAATGGAGGCTAGGGCAGCACTAATAAAAATTTTTCTTTCTGTTTATAGCCATTGGGGATTTCCAACTTGTCACAAAAGTCAGTAGCACATTCAAGATACTGTGCAGAGCTGGCACTTAATAGCTGTTTGTGTGGATGATACAGATCAGACAAAAGTCTGATTTTGCTATGGCTGCAACCACAGGGTCATTACCTTCCAAAACTGGCAGGCCAAAAGAATCATTATTTCAAGAAAATTGTGTCCTTTTAAAAACAAAGGTGTTGTGCAAGGTGATATGTGGTATTTCAAATACTTTCAAATCTTATAACAAAAGGTAGTGGCAAAAAAGTGAACCTCGAAATTCTTGAAAGAATTCTTAAGGAGCATATCCTTCCTCATCTTTTAAAGGAGCTAAACAGAGCAACAGGAAGTGCTGTTGCATATCAATATGTTATGAATCAATAAATTATTCAGAGCTAGCACAGATATCTCCGAATATATTGTGTACAATAAAATGCCAGACGGAGCAAGGAAGATCATCCTCGGTAGCACAGGGACTTGTCCCAGTGCTTTACTCCTATTTCCTGCTTCAACCAGTTCAATGAACCTGGCTTTATTACAAAATGTCACAGCTTTGAGGCACCAAAACTTGTAGCGAGACTATTTAGAGGTCTTTTAAGCTTAAAACCTAAAATCCTAGTGAAGTAAACCTTAAAAGCCACTTCATGATCAAGTTTTATTTATTTGGATTTTAAGCCTTAGAGATTAAAAGCTTGCTAGGTCATGAACACAACTCTAGTACAAAAAATCAGTAGCTAGGAACAGTTTTGCATTTCATGTTCTTACCTTAGTATTGTCAATATTGGTTCTTTCGGTTACTAAATTTGTCTTAGTATCTGTGTACATAATATCCTAAATTCACAATTCCTTGCTGGGCTTCAGTTTTTTCTTTTCTTTTTTGTTGTTCTTAACTCTTCTCTGTCCTAGTGTCCCCCCCCAAATTAATTCTTTCCCCTTTAATGAGTATTACAGCTTTACCCAGACTCTCACCTCAGAGCGATGTAACATTGTGAGTGTTCTCCTTACCACACCAGTTTGAATTTGCAATTCAGCAATAGAATAAGTGTGCATCTTTTATCTCTGCTTACAGGCTCTTGGCAGACTTATGCAGCACTTCAGTATATTCATTTCTTATTTGTGTTCCATTCTGAACTCCTATCAACTGTGGTTTTTTTATTCTGAACTGGAAAGAATTAACACTTGTAACAAACTTCACTCAGAATGGTGAATTCTAGAAAACTAGTATTTTACTCACTTGTTTTTCAGCTCCCTTTGAACTGCTGTGATCTTTCTGAAAGTCATGAAATGCTTCTTGCACCACTTTGTCCAAGTCCACTTTGTCCTGGAACTCTAGCTCAGGATTTCTCTCCAAAATAACAGATATAACCATCAACAACTAGAAGGCAGAAAAAGACTGTAAGACTTCAGATTTTATTTTTTTAAAATTCAGGTTACATAAAAGCACTGTTATAGTTACATATGCCTCTTTCAAGCAGGAAGCCATTTAATAATGGCACAGATAATAGATTTCTGACTTTGATAAAAGAATCACTGAAAAAGCAGGCTCTTGTGAAAGGTTACAATTCCTGGTGACTGTCTAGTTAAGGGCACTGCATAAATGATTGACATTAACATCTAACTTTGCTGGGAGCCAGGGAAGGTATTTTCCAGTTTATTCTGTTCACTGTGTAGCTGGACCAGTGGTGGTGCTCAGCCAATGGAAAAGCAGCAAACAGTGAGCCTCAGCATTTGATGTTTTGAGGCATAATCAGATATGGTGTAATTGTATAATCATGCTATGACAAAATTTATAAAAAACAGTCAATAGACACCAATAAAAAGTTTCAGTTCAAGAGAATTTACATTCCTTATATATGAAAGAGGTTTAAAATAGGAAGGTGAACATGATGAGTGGCCTGCCATAATAACTACAAGTGGGTTCTAGAGTCTATATTGGTCATTTTGGGTTTTGTTAGTTGTGTTATCTTTTAGCAAAAATCGAGGATGTTCCAGCAAGCAGCATATGACCAGTAGTAGTTAGCCAGAAGCGAGATGGATTTATTTTACTGTGGAGGAAGTTTTTTTTACTCGCAAGCACCAGAGGCATATACTTGGGAACTAACAGTGAAGGCTGCTGACAGCACAGATGTCAAGTTACCAAGGGTACACATGCTCTTGATCTGTTCAAAAAGTAAACATGTGCAGTAGTGGGGAAGGAGTTTAAATAGCCTCTTGCTTTACTGTTAGGTATGGGAACATAAGGAAACTGGAAAGCATAAGAAAACATAAGGAAAGCTACTTTGGAATTATTATTCTTCAGTAGTTGTCACCTCCTGTGACCTAATTGTATTGGCACTGTCATTAACATTTATCTATTTGCTAAAGGGGAAGAACATCAAGAAAGTAGTCTATTCTGAACATGTTAACAGGAACCTGTTCAATCATACAAAATCTATGAAGAAACCACCAAAGCAAGTGTTTATATTTAAAATGTTATTTCTTCAAATATTTGAGCCTTGGATTTTTTTTTCTTTTAAGCTGTAACATACTCATGTTCATTTTAAAATTTCATTCATTGTAGGCCACAGACCTCTACAATAATTTGCCTGTATTCCGGCTGGTCGATATTTTGCAGCATATCTTCTACTAGAAGGGAAAAATTCATTTCATACATCGTCATATCCGATAAGGTTGGTTGCTGAAAAACAAATAATACTTTCACTGAAAGATCATTTGCATTTAATCAAAATGACCCCCAGGGTAGAGATTATTTGCTTGTTGAATAAATAATACTCAACTAAGAAATACAACCACTGTAGGATCAAAAAGGGAGCAGATTTCGGAGTCCATGCCTTGAAAAGGGTCTTCTAGACTTACGCTTTTATAAATGTGTTTTAATAGAAATAACTGACTTCTGTTCTAATCTAATTGTATTGTATTCAGAACCAAAAAGAAAACTTGAAAATAATTAAAAAACAAAACAAAACAAAACCAGGAACAGATTACCTTAAGTAATACATTATGGCATAAAATAGACATTAATGATAAAGTAATTCATGATTAACAGCCAGGTAGAGCAGAAATAACTGCGCATCTCCGCCAGTTTTACCTGTGGTAAAAATTTCCCTGCCACTATTAAACCATTAGGGGTTCTCTCCAAGATCTGCCACACCCGATCATAGAATCCAGCAGGCGTTCGATTGAGAGAACCATCTATCTGTCTTCGGTTTAGCCAGCCTCTGTGGATAAAGAAATTGAGAACAGGAAGTCAAAAACCGTTACAGATGCAGAACCAAGCCATGTTCAAAGGTGTAGGCCAGTAGGGTAAGCAGTGACATCAAATACGTATTAATGATGCATATACAGTATAGGTTGTGCTTTCTGGTAAGTTACGCTCTAAAGGAAAGAAAATTAAGATGCTCAGCATGTAGAGGTTAGAATGTTATGTGTGTGTTTGTGCCTAATGTCACTGCAGGAAAAGAATTAACTGTGAAATCTATCCAGTGCAGTACAGCAACAGTAGTAGGCTGAATTCATCATGTCTGATAAATTTAAGTCACCATCAGCTAAAACATACAGAAAACAGAAGTCACTGTGTGACACCTATGAGAGTCAAATTTATACATGCTGGAAAAACACAGTATTAACTATAGTATTTAAATTTGTTTTATCATACTACAATAGGCAAACCAATTCATTATATAAATACAGCCCAATGAAATTCCGCATCTATAAAATACAAAATGCAACAAATAATGGATTAAAACCACCTATCATTCTAATTTAAATACCCCATTAGCATGCCTGATGAAATAAAAGAGATCTTACATTGAAAAACCTTATCCTTAAATGCTGGAGGAATGGTGAGAATTCCTTCTGAGATAAGTCCTGAAAAGTGAAATCTAATTCAGACAACTCCATATGTGTTCTTACACTTTTCTTCAGTTTCTTACTGTAGCTCCCAGCTACACTAGAAGATCAAGCAAAGACAGTGTTGTTTTGTTTTGTTTTTTTTAAAAGAAGCAGGGGGGGAGTTTCACTGAGTGGTGGATCTTCTGAACAGGTTTGAGCTGTAGGTAATTGGGATATGCCTTATGAGAACAAAGGAGATATTTAAAGTTAAGGCTTTAAAGCACTTGTGATACAATAGCTGCCACTGACTTACTATTGGCTTCTAATTATTCTACCACTGCCAGGATCAAGCCAATATGCAGTGGGTTTTCTCCTGTAGAACTGTATTGGATTAACATGACAAATTAAGAAAAAAGGTCTCATAAATCACTTCTCAATAAAACATCTAACTGCCAAAAACTTGTGCCTGCTATGACCATTCGATCTCATTCTCTGCACAGCTTTGTCTTTGGACTAGGACAAAAAAAACATTTATGAAAAGAAAAAGACAAGTTGTGATAGGAATAAAAGGTTGTTTTCTTAATACACAGAAAGAAGCATTTGAAGATGTCAAAATACTCCAACCTCTCTGAATTACTATGGTAAGGAAGAGAGTCCTGTAAATTGTATGAGCAAAATGTGTTTTCTAACTGTTAGGACCATTAAAAGAAGAATGCTCCATTTTAAAAAGTCTACTCGCAGTCTTGTCACCTACATAAATAGGTCAAAAAGAGTAGCTGTGGAAGTCTGCACTCTGTTGGCAAGATACAGATAGATAGGTACCTATATGGTATCATATCCTGGAGCCCAGTGTAAGAGGTAGGAAAATTGCAAAAATTTTACCCTCCATGAAAACTTGGAGAGACTGTTAGGGAGGGAAATATACTGCTAGCCCTTAATGCATGACGAATTAATTGGCAGCGATATATGGTATCACAGTAGGGAGAGATTTCTTCTAAAAATCACAACAGTAGGAAAAACTGTCACAGGAAGAAAATGCAAGAAGACAGCGTTCTGTACTTCCTGGCAGGAAGAGAACTTTTAAAAACAAGTCACTAATGGGTAAGGAAAAATGAGCTAGGAGTACTGTGCAGGAAAAAGTTAAAAGATCGGAAGTTTTGAAGGATATGCTGACTAGCTTTTTTACTCTGATAACCCCCCAAAAGGAATCTTGGTCATCAGAAAATCAGCCAGAGGGCTCTTTGCTGACGCAACTATGATATGTTAAAGGAATCAAAACCAGAAGGCGCTGTCAAGCAAGATGGTGCTTGAATTACTTACTGTGATTGACCAAATTGTTTTCTCAGGAGCATAATATTTAATGGAAAATGCTGCAAAGAGAAACCTAGGGTTGTTCTGCTAAGGTTTTAGAGGAATAATGTCAGTGTCAACATAAGTAGAGACAGGAACTAACAGCACGTATTAACAACCACAACAAAGACACTGAAAAGCATGTGGGAGATATCGAATACATAGTCAGTGGGACTGAGAGATTCTACGTCATATAAATTAGGTAAGAGAAAGCTGACACCGATTTAAGGAGCTTGTTTCTCTGGCATTATAGAGCAGGGGGAAAAAAAAAATAGAATGTGTTTTGAATTAAGCAGGAACAGAAGTAGTATGATGTGGTGTATTTCCTCTTTGTTGAGAGGAAAGGCCATCATCCATTCAGTCAAGGACTATGGAATATATCAGCCGTATTATTTGCCCGAGTTTAATCTAACTTAACTAGAAGTAAAAGCTACAGGAGGACTTTTGACTTTACTCTTACCAAGATAGTTTAAGTGGAAATACTGCAATTTAAACTTTTGTCTTGCACACTTTATATCAAGATGAATGCTCTTTTTGGCAACTGGTTACAGCCTGGAGAAAAGATTACAAGAATCACACAGCACAGCTACCTCTTGAGAATTCCAGAGACCATCTGTTGTTAATTCATATAATAATCTAGAAGGAAGAGGGCACTGAACAGCAGACAAACTGTTCTTGCAAGTTACTTAAGGAGACTGTATCGAGTAATTGTTTGGCTCCTTTCCCCACATCAAAGAATGTAATGCTTCACATTCCTGCCAAAGTACGTGAAGTAGAGTAGTAGAGATTACTGCTATAAAGTAACTCTTCCACAGAGATAAAGCTGAAAAGGGAAGCTGCAATATAAAAGAAACAATTGTAGAACCTGGACACAGGTGAAAGAATGAAAAAGTGCATTTTTGCTACCTTTCCTTAAGTAAGTACATTACTGATTGCAAATGTCTGGTGATTTCAGATGTATACGAAGTATTTCAGAAACGAAAATTACTTGAACGGCCCATTATGAATGAAAATAGATGCCACAAGCCCACATATCTCATTACCTCCCCTGCTGCTGTGGCTGAAGAATATCCAGCAGAAGCTGCTTCACTTCACTAGGGGACATCTGGTATAAGTCCTTGGCTGGCATATCCCCAGCACGGATCTTCAGTTCATACTTCATAGCATGGATAATCCACCTGAAGTAAAGGGAGGAATACATTTATTAATTTAATACAAAGTTTCCAAAGATGAAAAATTAGTCTAATAAAATAGCTCATAAGAATTCCACATGATGCTGCTATTTGGCTGTCTGGACATGCATAAAATATCCGCTACTCTTACCATGTTACGGAATTTACTCAGATTTTCTGTGTGTCTGCAATATGATACAAACTGAAAGGGATAATGCATAAATTTTAACAAGTGGGTTGTACAGCATGTTTTTCATAGGGAAGATATATTTGACTACATATTCCCCTATATCCCACGTTCATCAAGACAAACGTTTACCTGCCTTGTGATGTTAAATTCCTACTCAAAAGTATGCTCTGACAGTATATGCATTTTGCTGATGAGTTTAAAAAAGCCACATAAAAATGAAATTATTTTACATCTAAAAAGACTTCAGGGCTTATTTATAGTTTTAGCCTTTGAAATTCCTTTTTGCAGTCTATCACACTTTTTTTCTTCTGCTACTCCCTTCTGAAAAGTTTTGATTAAATAAAAATACAGCAACAGTGAAGATTTTTCAGACTTAGGTATCAGAGAGGCAGAACTTTGCAAGTTCTTAAGTCACAATCTTTTCTGAAGAATTCTTGGTAACTACACAGAATTCTGAGATGTTAGGCCAACTGATTCAATGTTGCTTTAAATTTGAGGCTTCTAGGACCGTTCTTGAAGGTGCAAGAGACAAGAGAATATTGGGCAACATGGACATACTACATTATCCAGAACACACTATTTTAGTGGGTGAATAGTGCCCTTCATGTTGTTGCTAAGTTTAACAAACACAGCTGGCGTAGGAATAATTTCTTTTTTCACTATGACTCAAATATATCTGTGTGCAAGTGATTCACTGGTATTTTCTCTTTGCAGTGGCCTACAAAACATAGCAAAGTCAAGAGTGGACCTTCCTACTGAACTCTTCACTGGTAAGAGGTGGGCAGAAGTCAGTTGGTTGGAGGTTTTTACAGTAATAGGGCTGTCAGGAACTTGATCTATTTCAACATGAAACCCTGAAAACAAATCAATAACAAGACACTAAATCAAATCATTATCAAACTGGAATGGTGTTTCTGCAGGAAGGTTAATTTTGCTCACTGAAGTGGGTGATAACGCTGAAATAAAGGAAATTGAATCTCTAGCATTAACCTTGGAAGAAAGAAAAAAAAAACTGAAAAAAGGATTAGCTACAGAGGATGAGGAAGGGGAGGAAAGAGGAGTAACATGGATCTGTAGAAGGTACAAAAAAGGTATTTAAGTGCAAAAGGATAGATGTACCTGCAGTTAAATTTGGTACAGGTGATTTGAAAAGGTTTTGGTTTTATAACTGCTGGAATGTACTACTAAAGGGAAAGCATGAATCTGGTGTACTAGAAAAAAGACTGCTGGTGTCTACCTCCAGTGCCGAAACACTCTTTTCTGTGTGAAAAAACATGGAAGATGGAACATTTAAGTTCTCATTTTAAAGCATGCTCACTGATTCTGTAAATCCCAGTCAGTAGCACCTGGCCTCTTCAAAGAAGTGCTTATTCAAATGCATCTGTCGCTTCCTAAATGTGAAAAAATAATTAATTTCTGTAGATAGCAAAGTAAATGCAGCCGCCATGAAATATGATAGACTGCACAGACTATTTGTAGGTCACCTTATCAAAGAACTTAATAGAAGAATCCGGTAGGTAAACGATGTTTTAAACTTGATTCATGTTTGCACTTCCTAAGATACGTATAGCTTAGTCTAACATACTTGGTATAGAATTGGACAACTATGTAGCTGATGAACATTCAAGAAGTGTTGTGTGTGTCTGCAACAGGGCTGCTATCAGTTGGGGGGGTGTTTTGGGGCTTTTTGAAGAACAAAAAGACATTTTTAGCAACATGACCTTATAGGACAAGTCAGGTTTTTCTTTACCACAGCTGTTAAGTACTTTTGTGTAGAGAATTGCTCTTGAACAATGTCTTTGTTACGCCAGATACCAGATACTCAGATTCACTGAGTATCAGAAGTATACCTTGGTGCCCCAAAATATTTTAGGAAAAGCTGTAATGGTAAATAGATTTGAGCTGCAGAGGGCTTTTATTACCTAAAGTCCCCATTACAGACAACATTCTAAAAGAACAAGCTATCTTTTTAGGCCGATTATTGTGCTGAAACTCTGAATAGTTTAAGTACTTCGAAACACTGTTCACAGGGAATTTGTTGCTGATTATTGTCAGACTCCTAAGACTGGTTTAGAGAAGGCTATATTATGAGCGCAGCATCTTACTAGAAACCAGAGAATGCAACTAGAAGCATGTGTTGACTTGGAGAATTGTGTGGTTTCAGAAGAGAAGAAAATTCATGCTGCATCCTTCCCAGCTTATGGCGTTTATGCAGTCTCTCCCCTTTGCCCCAAATCTACATGACATAGGTGACTGCTGAAGTGAGCAAAGAGCTTTTAAAGGCCTCATCCAGGAGCCTTAATCCTGGACTGCCCTTTTCCTTCCATCTTCCTCAAGTCCTGGCAGTCTCTGACAGTGAAAGCTCTTGCTGCCCTCTCTATCCTCCCTGCCAGCTCAGAACAGCCCTTGCCTCTGGCCCTGTCCCTCTAACCTGCCTGATAGGCGGGCAGGCAGCAGCACACCCTGTGTGCATCTGCCTTACCTGTGGGGCCTGTAAAGGAAGAACCAGCATTCTGTTTGGTGCAATCCATTATGCTTCTAGGACTCTGTCCACATCACCCGTTTACCAGTAATGAAATTCGTGCTAATTACCAGCCTTAAGCATGCACAGCACACCTGTGCCTAGCACACGATAAAAAGACTGCTGTAGAGATGCCTTGCTGCCCGTGCACAGAGTGTGAACTGTGAGCAGACGTTCTTTCCACTCTGCAACTGGGAAACTCTGGATGGCACCCAGTGTGCTCTGTGTCTGCTGCCAGGTAGGGATCTGTCTCAGGAGCCCCACCAATACACTTGAGTGCATACTTCATGTGTGGGTATGAGGCCAGTTGCAATATAAAACCGAACCCACTGCCTTGCTAATGGAGACTCACTGTGTCTCTGCTGGTGCTACGCACAGACCAGCCAGCTGGTCACGGCCTCTGTGGCCATGGGTGAGCCAGGCAGAACGTCCTGCCTGTTGGCTGCCAGCAGGACAGGGTGAGTGGGAGGCAGCACGTGTGCCATTGCTCATTTGCTATACGGAATGCATCTAACCCAGCTACACTGTTTTTGGGTTTAAAGCCCCAACATGAGAGGGATCCAGCTTTGAAAAATTCCTATAGTTCAATGTATTAGCTGTAGGAACGCTTCATATGGGCTATTACAAGGACTGCCCCTCCTCCACTCTACACTGTTGACTGGCAAATTTGAGATTAGTTGTGTACCCATTTTTGGCACACTAATTTAAAGCAGGCTTCCTAGAAATGTAAAACTGAAGCATACAAGTTTTGCTGCATCATCTTATACAAACATTTTTGCAATGTAGTAACAGTCTCTGAAGCGCGTACATTCCCCTGCAATACTAGCAGTAAGAACATCAATAGATACTTTACTGACCCAATCCGTATCTTCAGCATGCCACTGAAAAGTTCAGGTGAATTTGAGATGATCCAGCCAATATGTATGACAAGTTCCTGCTTAACTACAGCTTCTCTTTCATCTTGTAAATGACATTTTTCATAGATGATGTTCTTAATCACTGCTGGGGATAAGGGATTAGAAATAACTTCTTCCTCTTGGCCAAAAGCTCCAAGTGTCACCTACGGTATATTGAAAACAATTCAGAAGCTATGGACAGGAATAAAAGCACAGCAGAAGCAATGCAGAAACAATGCTTCATGAACTCTGCTTTTCTTGTTAAAATGCCACAATAAAAATAATTTTACATCAATGACTGATGCTTGTTAATACCGTTAGTTGGATGCTGTTAAAATAACAACATTCACTAAAGACCACGTTTTACAAATGAAACCACTGCTTTGGTTTCAAAACTGCCTGTACTTGTGACTGTACACTAGGTTTAGATAGTCTTTGCTTTCTGACATTTCACCTGTGGAGCTCACTTGAAATTCAGAATTAAATTCATAGTTTTGTTTTCTTATTTCTAACAGCATCCTGAAAGCTAGCAGCTTTCATTTTAAGAAAATACATTGCTGGCACTGGATTGTTTAACCACAAAAAATTATTTTTTTATTAAAATTCTGATTTCCTTTTAATCTTCTGTCAGTAAAACAGAGCAACATTATTTTTTCTCTTGTAATATAGATCATTATTGGAAAGGGATCAGTAAAGGCAGGTTAGGTTAAAAAGTTGAAAATAAACAGCTACAAATCATGCCGCATGCAGATGCAGCTTCCTCTATAGCTTTGTAGCGCCAGAAGCACATACCCAGACTTTAGTCTGGAGTAAGACAAAGACGCCCTGTCATAATAGCTAAGTATACACAGATATTATATTATTATAGGTAAGTATATACTTATTTTAATACAAAAATACATAATATTCAATTACTATCATTTCAAAACAGCTCTTCAGGAACTTTATTAAAATTATTGTGCTGGGAGGAAAGAAAAAGTCCTCAGGAAAGGAAGACAACACTTTGATGATTAAACTTTGTTTGGAGCAGAAAACTAAAACCCTGAAAGACTTTCTGCTCAACTGCTACTCGTCTGTGGTCTTACGCTCAGTTACAGAGAGAGTGGCTACATCTTCATTAGGGCTATATTACTTGACTCCATCTATTTTTGTGGCGTAAGAGGGCATATATATAAAATCTAAGGAGTTATGTAAATCATGCCTCTTCCCTTCTTATCTAGACACTGAACTGTCTTCCCAGAATTGTCCTGTCATTAAAGTAAATTTATTAGCCTATAGTATATGCAGGTATTCAATACATCTTTATTTTCTCTGGATTTTGCTTCTTCAGTATGGATTTTTTTAAGCCATTTGGTACTTTTAAAAGAAGCAGAGGCCTTCAAAATTAAAAAGCCCATTTATTTAGTTTCTCTGTTATCATTCCTTAATGCATTTCTGAGGAGTAAAGACTTACCTGCTTGCCCTGAACTAAAACATTAGTAATAGATGGTGCAAGGCTGTCCACTAGTTTACCTAAAAGACTTGCTGCGAAGCGCACAACAGACCTGAGGGCAGAAAACAGAGCAAACCCACTACATATCAAAGCTAGTTTAATGAATTCATATATAAGTTTGAAGTCTGCCACAGCAGAGATGCCAAAATTAACTCAGTAAATACATACATTAGTTATAAAGTGGAATTTGGATCAGATTTTATGTAATCTATGGATTTTCATTTTTTAGTCTAGATAGTGGCTAAGGTATCAAAAATAAATTTAGTTAGAACTCATTAAACTACCAGCTCCATAAGAAGCTTGTCGCTTTTTTCTCAGCAGCATCTTGAAAACAGACTAGGTAAGAGATGCCACCTTCTCTTCTGTGACATTTTCATTATTTTGCAAGATAACCTTGGTAATTTTTTAAGTCTACTTAAGGAAGAGTTAGAAAGATTTTGCAGAGGAAGTACAACACGTAACACCAAGGTTTTGATTTGTTTTCCATGCTGAGATAATATTTTGCATCTGTATTGTGAAAAGAAGAGACTTGTGTAAACTGCTAGGTTAAAAACTAGCTGTAACTTCTAAGAAAAACATTTTTTCATATATCCAGTTGATGGTTAAAGATATAAATACTTTTAATAATAATTTCCTGACAAAATACAAACTTCAACCTGTACTTGAGCTTTTCTAGCACAGACTTTGAGGCTACTAAGAATCATTTATCCACAAAGATAATGAAGTGAGTTGTAATAGTCTATATAGTGTTAGTAAAAAATTCAAACAGTTGATGTCGATTCCTGTGAAAACTGCTACGCACTTCTTAAGATCAAGAGCAAAGCATTTAAAAAATGCATTAGCTGATACTATCAAAATGCAAATAAGCGAAGAAAAAAAAAAAAGTCTCACGGAGCTCCATTTCAGACCTCTGGGCACGTTACCTGCTTCCCATGTACCAGTAAAGTAGTAATATGTGGGGTTATAGAAGAAGAAAATTTCTGTGCAAATGCAGCACTGTAGCGCAACACCAACCTATATGTATGTCACATGGCAATCATGGAAAAGAAATGAAAAACAGTTTACATACTTTGTTTCTAAAAATCCTCTGGTTTTTACTCTTTACAAAAAATACCACCAAGGTATTTTGGTTCTAACTTCTTATTGGCAAAGGCCTATTTAACTGTATGAACCGACTAAAATGAAAAATGAAAAACAGTTTTTATATTTACAGAGTGAGAGAATAGAATTCAGGACAGGCTCAACTCATTTCTTTGATAAAAAGAAATGAAATCTCTACTGAGCTTCAGGGCAAAGAAATTAATCAACAACATGTCAATACCAATCTACTTGCTGAAACCTTTCAAAGTTATTGTGACAAAGTCAGGCTCAAAGTAAATTATTTCAGGGCAATAAACAAACTGCATAAGTGTATCAGCTTAACCGATCTATATTTGATCACCAGCCTTGCTACAGAAAGCTATTGATAATATTTTATCATGCCCTGTAAGAAGTAAGAATGTTAGTATTCTTTTCCTGTTATTTGAATTCAGTGAGAACTGTACATCGGCAATAGCACTCACAGCAAAACCAGCTTAATACTCTTATGTTTCAGAAAAAAGGGGTAAGAAAATAGTAATTCTTTTTTTTTTTTAAAGCATTGTAGACCAGATCTTCAGCTGCAATGAACCAACACAATTTTGTCAGTAAAGCTTTTTCTTCCCCCCGCCCCGCCTCCTTTAGGTGCGTAAGGATCAAGCTTTACTCTCTATAAACACGTTAAGGGAAAAAAAGTGGTGTAAACCAAAAGGAACATGATATACGTATACAAACCAGAGCTTTTTGCTGCCAGCTCGTCTATAGATTCTTTCAATATGCTCAGCAACAGTACCTAAAAGCATTTAAAAAACAAAAAACAAAACACAAGAAAAAAAGATGTACAGGTTTTCATTTAAAAGCAGTAAGGTAAATTTGATGATATCAGTTAATTCTGAATCAGCTTTAGTAAAGCACTTACCTATTGTGCTTAGCATCTAAAATTTAGATGCCATCAAGTCCCCTATCGTTGAGTTGTATGTTGTTGTGCAAGAAGCCAAACCAAATTTCAGCTAAATTTGCTGCGTATGCTATAATGAGACTTACGATATCACCTATTGTTGCAATATATTGGGGAAAATTAATCTACGTACAGATTTGGCCTATAAAGGTATATCCCCATCATAAGGTACATCCTCAAACTGCAGATCATCTTTTGGATACAGCATGTAGATACTCTCTCCACTGCCTTGCCTCATCGTTGAACTAAAACCTACAGGAAGCAGCAGGGAAGGCTTATGCTCGACAGTGTCATTCACGGAAGGGATGCTGGGGTTGGACAAAGTTTGTAATAGCTGATACCCAAATTTGTATATGAACAATACATCACCAGGTTAATCATGTGGGATGCCAGTCTTCCATTTTGCAGGAATTTGGGCGAGTGTGAAAGGGAGGGTCTTTCACTGCTTTGCCGCTCTGCCCTGAATAACCACAATAAGGTTACCACAATGATACCCAGGTGACTATGTGAGCTAGCTTTGGTCATCGGGTGCATTACAGCACTCCTATCAGTGTTGCAAAGTACAACAGGGGATATTGGACGATACATAAGACATTATGTCACTGCTTTACTACTCTCCCTCTCCAAGCTGACTTTCTGTATGCTAGAACCAAAGAACATTTTGTGAAGTGTTGGCATATTAAACTAGCATCGTGCTGTACAGACATGACCTAAAAAAGAGAGGGGAGGAAGTGGGAAGAGCACTACTGCTAAGTCAAAGTAGGTAGTCCAGGATTCAGAGAAGGCATGAAGTACATTAATCAGAACAACAGATACCCTTTTTTTGTCAGCTTGTAGTTGATCATAGCGCATCAACTTGCTATGCTGACATCTCTTCAATTGTGCAGGGGTCAAGTGGGGACCACTCATTATGTAAAAGGTAAAAATGGTGACAAACATTCCATTATTTAGACCTCATTTAGTTTATAGATTTTGAACGCTCAGATGCAATGGCAGTGTTTTTTGTGTCAGGCACTTAACTGGTGAACAGTAAGTTCATCTATAACAACAGTGGTAGTGGAAGCTGACTCACAAAATCATAGCCTCTGCCTGTCAGCTGGAACACCCAAGGTTCTTCAGCTTTTATTTTTAGATTTATGTTTATCGATTGTGTGATCATTTAATGTCAGTCTCAGTAATCTCCAGTTGTAGGAGGACAGGAACTTTAGTCAGTGACTCAGACTGTTTAATGCAAGGTGCATATTAAAAAGGTTATCATCTGCAGTTTCATATTGGATGGCACAAAAAGATCTATATGAGTTAGCTCTGAACAGTCGGAGGCACGACAGTACTTCTTTGACCTAAATGGTTTAAGAGAGTTTTTAAGTTGGTCATCATGATCTAACGGTCAAAAGCGACTTCTGCTGGTTGCTGACAGAGGTCAGGAAGTCTGCCTCAAGTTGCTTCCATAGCAAAGGAGGACACAACCTACAAAGAACTAAGAAAGGCTGCTGAGGCTCTCAGAGCCTGACAACAGTATGGGTAACGGTGGCGAAAAGGCCTCCTGCTTCAGAGGCACGCACAGATTCCGACTGTGACTTTGGATTCACATTGTATTTCAGCAATGCACTGGGTATCAGCCAATGAATTCTATACCACTTTACATAGTATTGCTATATTAAAAATGTAATGGACAACAGATATAATGTATATGTATGCCAAAATGACAACTCTTCATCACAAGGACATCAGCTGTCCTCTCTCAAAATTATGAAGCAGGGCTTGTAACATGAGGTGGTAAGTTACAACACTGCTTGAGGAGTAAGTAAGAGAATATGATTTGATCTTAACATTCTTCTTTTTCTGAGGAGTCTTCGTATATACACAGGCAGCTAATAAGCAGTCTTTGGCAAAAAAACACCAAACCACCAAACCTTGCAGCACAACAGCCACAAGCCTTAGTAGCCTCTTCTGAATTATTTTACATTAATTTGAACCCTATGCTCTAATACAAAGCCATAATACAAAATTAGAGTAGAGCAAGATTCACGGATGTACCAAATTAGTCCGATTACATAAAAGTAAAATAAAGATTCCATATAAAGCTTCACATATTTCACACTAAATGTTAGAGACAAACTTGTCTTCAGTTTTCTATACAAGGTCAAATGCCCTATTTTTTAATATCTATGTGTTCAAAATTAGAAGCAGATACAGCATCTGCCTACAATCTAAAAGAGAGTTATAGATTTAGCAGCTCATTCCCCACCACACTATGAATTTGCATGTCCCATTTAATGCAGAAATTGCTTTAAATGGCAAAGAAAATAGCTACACAACTGCCTGCACACATGGCCATTATTCACGTCCATTACAACTAAACGTACAGCTGCTTTCTGAAATGCTCAGAATAGTCAAAAGAAAGCAGCTCTTACCTTCCTTGGTGATAAAATTCGGTCCTTCCCTTTTAAGCAATATACTCGAGAGTAATGCTTGACTTGCCAGGCAATTGCAGTCCTTAAAAAAAGCCAGCAACAACATAACTACAAATAGCCTTCAGATTTTCAGTGAAGCAAAACCAGAACAGCTATTAAAAATTTCAAGTGAAAAAAGAGCCTCTTTTGGCTTAATAAAAAAAAGAAAAAAAGTAGTCAAGAAATCTAATTTTTAAGGAGCCTTCACAGCTGCTTCACACCCTATGTATCCTTTTCACTGCTGCTTGCAGAGGCTTCTCCAGGGTTCAGATTAAGTTGTAATAATTTGGCCTCAGATGGTTCCTGATTTTCTGCTCTTGGGTCCTGTCATTTCCAGCAGAAATACTTGTCACGACATAGGGAACCAAGCAGAATACTTGGTGTGTTCCTGTTGAGCAGTGGCTTTAGAAACAGTCACTGGTAGTTTTCTGCTAGAGGGAAAAAATCAGCCAGATTGGAACTTTCCCTTGGTATCGTTAAGAAGTTACCAGTCTATCAGAATGAACACCAGCTGTTGAAGTCTTCTGAATTTTAGTCTAGCAATAAAATATCTGTTTGTACTTTTTAGATGGTCATTTATTACCAGGAGAAGATTTGGGTAGCTGAAGCCAGCAATTGCAGCATGAAGGGCCGGAAAGTTCTGTGAAGATGAAGGACTGTCAAGAGGAAGATTCCCTGAATATGAAGAGGAACATAGACTCATAGGATCATTTAGGTTGGAAAAGACCTTTAAGATCATTGAGTCAGCCATTTTATCTTACTAGCTAGATCATTAACATTGAACCATGACATTAATCATGTTGATCTAAGCAGATCAACAGATCTAAGTAGGCTGCTGTTAAAAAGAATACCAGCACACAATCACACTGTATTTTTATCAAGTTCTCTTACATTAAGTTTCTGTAGGATCTCATATGTTGACTTGTTTTTCCAGTCATTAATATTTACATCTGGTTGCTGCTCAAGTTCAGATGCATTTGGAGTACTAGACTGTCTCTTGACTTTTGAGTGTTTTGGAAGATCCAACTCCTCCAAACTCTTAAATACAGGAGCCCTGAAAAATAATATTTAATTTCTTCATAGTTCAGAAAATATTTTCATTATCGAATACTTCATCGTTATTATTTACACATAGCCTTACTCTTCTGTTTCAGTGATTCTTAGGAAGTCAAGTTGTTCAACAACTGCTCCAGATATTAATGTCTGAAATGAAAATTTGAAAAAAAAAAAATAAAAATGCAGAAATGTACATAACTATGTAGTTGTCTTTTTATCTCAGTATATTGCTGGTGGTTTCCACTGAGATAGTTTCTTTACAGTTCCAAGTATTTTTACACTCAAAGAGTATTCTTCCTCTTTCTTAAGCTCTCTCGAGACAGCGCAAGTCTCTTGAGGCTGCTGTCTCTTTTTTGCTGGCACTCTGCTGTTCTTTTGCCTGCAACATACGGCTTAATCAAGCAATGTGTCCTGCCCTGCCCTGCCCCCCCCAGGTCTGATGAAAACCCCTGAGTCCCCTGCATTCCTGAGTCCTGCAGGATACCCGTGCTCTGGATCATAATGCTCCTTATTTCAGGGATCTCCAAAGGTTGGTGGTTTTCCTGCCAGTCCCAGTGATGTTACAGGAAAACACAACATAACAGCGTTTCACCACTTCCTTAATCCAAGCATGGCTGCCCTAAGTTTGCACATCAAATGCAGCTATGAAATATTCTGTCTCAATGTTACTTACCTGAAATTCAATGTTGCATTTATCTGATGCAGTCCTCACAATTCATTCACTCCAAATTTATATGAATTCCCTATTTCTATACTGCCAGAGGAAATATGTTGTGCTACAGCATTTTCAAGACTGCTTTTTGATGGTTCTTATTAGTGTATTGTGAACTTCTAAATTCCATTTTCATTGTACACAAGTTGCAGGTAAAATACTGATCTGTTATACTGTGAGATGACTGAATATAAGAAAACCTGGGTTGCTTTTATTGCTAGTCTCATTCATTCTTTGACTTGCATATCTGCTTGAACACAGGATGACAACAAAGGTGAAATATCAGAAGAGAGATACAAGTCTAAGTACACATTTTTAAGTGAAATGAGATTTTGTAGATTTCACCAAAAAACAGAGCATTCCCACAATGAGCGACACACATTCTATCTCTAGGCATGTTTACACATACGCATCTAAATGAAGCAGCTGAATGCAATCCAAAAAATTCAATATATATTTTGTTGGAATAGATGAATTATTTAAGAAAGCACCATGAATTAGACAGGTCCTTTGTTCTTTTCCGAAATCCTCCCGCATAATGAGACAAGACTGTTTCCAAAACGTGACAACTGTGAAGTAAGATTCAGGGACTATATTTAAACTGATGGAGAAAGTGTACCACATTCCACCAGGAAAGGCACTGATCACCAACATCTACCCTTGGCCTGAAAGCCAAATAAACATTTGTTTTTATTTTTACCATGTATTGTTTTTAATGGATAACAAATAAAGCAAACACTGATGACTGTCAACATCTTAAACACTTCAATAATTATTAAAAAGAAAAATCTTTCCAGGTGGTGACTGAGTGTAGAAGGGGAAGTTCACTCCCTGATGACTGTTGAACACTGGCTTTAGAAACAGTCACTGGTAGTTTTCTGCTAGAAGGAAAAAACCAGCCAGATTGGAACTTCCCCTTGGTATCGTTAAGAAGTTACCAGTCTATCAGAGTAAGCATAGTGCAGTGCTTAAAATAAGGACACGTTATGTAGATTGAGAAACTTTTTGCCTGGTAATATGCCAGTTTAATAAAATGTAAGCCAAGAACGTCCTTGCAGTTAAATTAAAAAAAAAAAAAGACACACACCCCCCTCCCCCTCCAAAAACACAAACCACGACTGTAGAGAAACGCAAGGTTTTCCATGGACAGCAACGGCATTTGGTGTAGAAGTTGATGGTAACAGGAGAGGCTACATGACCTACATATGACCAGTAGAAATACCCTTGTAATCCTCCAAGTAGTATGTATCTTAAACGACTACAGCTATGAATAGGTGATTTAAAAATTACCCAGCTCTTTGACAAATTCATGACTTTCTAGGGAACAAGAAATCATAACTGTGTCTTTGGTCTTCTCTCTTACGAAAAGAGGGGTCCTTCAGTAGGTGTAAACTAAGATTAACTAGCACCTACAAGTATCTAAACCAGCACCTGACTCGGTAATTTTCAAGTTTTAATGAAATAACGTTCTTGCTTTGAGATCAATTCAAACAGCAAAGATGTTAAAACTAGATTGTAGTTCTTCTAAGAATTTTAATACATGTGAAGCAACTTTTTCTTCCCCCAGGTTGTTGATTATCTCGTCAAAAGCAATCCCTGAGTGCTTGACATGGTAGATTTGTCCTGCGGTGGTAATTTCACAAGATTGCTAAACATAAAAAAACCCCTTCTCCCTTCTGAAAATCCTCGATGAAGATTATCACTTTCAAAAGACTCATCAAAAGGAATTAAAACAACAACATGTTACTTTTGAGATAAAACAAAAACTGTACCAAATGTCTTGGGTCTTGACTCCTTAATTTTATGATAATAAATAAAAGACTTTCAAGTCACGTGAAAAACACAGGTGGGAAGAATGCACATACCAGTAGTAGGAGGTAAGAACACAACGTTCAGGAAACACAGCATACCTGTACTCTGTCAACGTGAACTTTCACTCCTCCAACAATTCCCTTTCGAAAGGCTGCCAGCATATCTAGTATTGGATTGAATCTGCTCCCTCTGAAATTTGAAACAGAACTCCGTTAACCTTGCAGTTAGGTAAACGCCACATGGCAAATGATTATTTTATCTTTCTCTACCTTATATTGTCTTCACGGATAAGTACGACAAACAGTGGACGACCATGCATTTTCCAGTACTGCTTAATGAACTGCAGTGCATTCTAGATCAGAAATAATACATTAGTCACAAAAAAATTAAAAAAAAAAAAAAAAAAAAAACCAAAAAACACCCCACACAAGCACAAGCTACCAGAATACACAGTACAAGATACTAGAAGAGCTACCTTAAAATAACAGTGCTGAAAAACCCAACAGATCAAAAAAACAGCTAACAAACCACTAACAGGTTTCTTCAAAGAACAGAAGCTGCTTTCAAGCACTATTTCACAAGTTTTCTGAAAATATTCCTAGCGTATCTATTGATCGCTGGCTCGACCACTCAGCAGAGCGCGGTGCACTGGCCTACCTGTGCCGACGCAGTACGCGTGTGTGGGAACGCAGGGCTTGAGCCGCAGCCGCTAGCGCGAACAGCCGCTGCCAGCTGCTATGCACTGCATGCAGCCGCTCGAGCAGAGGGGACTGGGCAGGTAGGCTTTGCGCGGCTGCCTGCCTGGAAGTGAGGGGAGGAGGCAATTTTTTGTATTTGTGGAAAGTCAAGTACTATTTCCTCCGGGTGAGGCTTTCATATTTCCCTTAAGCGGACCAGTCTCGTTCCTCTTTTCAGGCAAGAATGTTTGTTTTCCCAAAGAAACAAACGACAATTTGCTTGCTGCACTACAGCATTCCCAACCACTTCGGGTGAGTTTTTTTGTCAGGTAGAGATACTCACTAGAACCCCCACCGGGCTGATGGGATATTCATCTTAATACACTTTCCAGCATAAACTGAGTTTATTTTAGAAGAATACACACTACACAGCGTTCCCTGTTCAGCCTCCTATTTTATCCAACTTCACCATTTCTTCTTCTACAGACTCTATTTCTGTCAGTTTCTTAAAGGAAAAGTTACAGATAAATACCTTAATGTCATCAATCAACATCATAACATCCTGAGACATGTAGAAATCACTTAGATCAAAAATGATAGAGTAGCAAACTACAGTCTTTCCCAGGATTCGATAAATCTGTTGAGAGAAAAAGCTTCCATTAATCTTTTCCATAAAGTATTTGAAGCACTAAAGTAGCAGAAAAGGAAAAAAAGTATGTTGAAACTATTACATTAATAATCAATTTAAGATAAAAATCTATAAATCTATTTTTAGGTACTCTTTCATTAGATATGCAGATCTACATTCTACTTCAGTTAACGCAGTTCACTTCTCCACCATTCAGCCTGTTTTGGCCAAGTACTGCTGTAACTGGATGTCTAGGAGACATACAACAGTTTAGTAGTAAGACTGAGCACGCACATGCATAATAGCAAAACACATTACAAGGACTTCAAAATAAGATACATGCATAAAATAAAATTACATTTCAATTCTATTTAAAGTAATTCAGAGGCTAATTCAATGTTTATCTGAAATGTATATCAATAACAAAACCATTTCTGGCAACAACCTTTGATGTTCCAAGGCATCCTATAGGCCTGTCTGGTCTTCCAGATAATCCCAATTTGTCATTGACTCCCAAATGGAAGTAAGCCTGTGAGAAAGAATCATGAAAACTGAGCGAAAGCTAGATCCAAGCCTTTCTTATGCCCCTGCTTAGAAAACATAGAAAGCTGTATGCATTTTGCTCTCATTAGAAGACAAGATTCAGAAAATGCGGTCATTATTTCTATTGGGTTCCCACCCACCCCACGTTTGTTTTTTGAAACATACATCTATATATCAACAATCAATAAAATGAAAGCACACTAGATTTGGTAAATGTACCATTCAAAGACCGCAATTAATTCTTTTGCTAACAACAGGTATCTTTACAGCAAAGAGAAATCAACTATTTAATTGAAGCAAGAAACACAAGATGCAAGAAGACAAGACACAAGCAGTCTGCTCCCTGACTTCATTCCACTGTAACGCACATCACTTCTGGTGGACGTGATGTGGTCTAACAGTCCACATCTGTGCAGATGTGGTCTAACAGTTCCCCTTCCCTCCTTCTAATAATAATTTTGGGAGGATGAAGGACTTCACCTTAATCATGAAGAGATGATTATTAACTTAATAATGAATGAAGTTAATGAATATTAACTCTTAAAATAGAGTTAATATTGGTTTACATAAAAAAGAGATGTCTTCCTTAAGGGGAAGCAGGAGCGCGGGGTAGGATCCTGGTTAGGACACACAGGTGCAACTTCGGGTTTGGGCAATGCACTAGAGTCCTGCCTATCTCCATAGTTTCAAAATTCAACTAAAACTTACTGCTTCCTATATTAGGTCTTACTCCTATTATTTTTCTAATCTATGTAATTAAAATATTTTTAAATTCTTCTAATTGCTCATTGAGACATATTTTCTAAAGGATCGTTTGCATTTATTGCCTGGGCAATTTTGCCTTCTGCAATGCTTTTCCTATCTGGCTACAAAGGTAAAAGAGTAATATAGGAACTCTTTAAAGATCTTTATTCTAATTTTAGTAAAGGCCTGCATCAAAAACAGAAGCAAGAGGAAATTACCACATCATTCATTGCTTGATTCATATTTGATGTAAATTATGCATACCACTATTACTGCAATTGATAAAATTTTGTAAAACTTGCATATTAAAGAAATATTCTTCATTTATTACAGTGTATGACAATAAAACCATTAAAAAAAAAACCAAACAACTAAGCTGTGAACAAGACAGTATAAACGTTTCTATTAAACCAGACTGAAAGGTAAAATTTTTTCCTTATTTGGGCTGTTTTAGGTAAGGAACCCACCATTACTAAAACTTCAGAACATTCAGAATTCAGAACATTGTCCTAAGCTCCATCATTTTTTATGTTCTAGGAAGATAATTCAGAAGCAAATAAAAGTGAACATTTGAACAAACATTACACTCAGTAGCTTTTTACTGCTGCCAGCTTTGGGCCTTCCTGATACTGCCTATGTTTCTGCATTAATACCAAGAACTAGATATAAAATAAACAAAATTACCTGTATCACCTGTTCATCTAGACTAAGTAACCATATCCAAGTGGGAAAGGAATGGAGACATCAAAACATTAACAGCGTTAAATAACCCATCTATGCATAAAAAACCCAAAAGAACATTGAACCCCTTTTTATAGTAAGTAAGAGAGACTAGAAGAATGGCAGTAGACATAATTTAACACTAAAAGGACCTTTGTTTTGCTAGAATGTAAAACATCAGATGTTTTCTTAACAAAAATAGAATTCCAGCAGTATTGTAATATTGTCTCTTCCTTTGAAGACTCTTTAGCTTGAGGCCTCATATTGTTCTACAGTCTACTAGAAGATGAAACTGCTTTAGTAGGAGCTTTCCACCTTGTTCTGTTACAAAGTGGCAGCTCAGATTCAGCACCAGAGTCTGTGAACAAAGCTACAGTTCCGTGCAAGTCCGGCTGCTTCAGGCAGGGTTTTTTGGGATTACAATGCCCTTCAGTTCTGGAATATTGAAGCTGCTAATAGCAAGAAACGGCAGTGAAAGCAGACAGGGCTGGTGGGTTGAGTTCAGAGAGAGAATCAAACTAGCACGGTCTTTCACACCATCTGTTTCCGTGTTCTTTTATGTGTTACCAGCCTATGCCTATGGAGTATTCCCCTGTACTATACTTCCACTACATATACACTTCCCTCCCTATATATTGCATGTATCTTATCCCATTTTCTCATCTTCCTCTTCTCCCTCTTTTCACCCCCTCCCCAACTTTGTGGATCTGTTTATATGACCCCCAGTCCTACCTTCAATCCCTAATTTTCCTGAATCAATGTCTTTCCCTCATCCATTTGTTTCTTTTTACACTACTACTTTGGACACGTGCCTGTTTATAAGTCTCGAGGTTTAAAGTGTTACCATGTGCCACTAGACCAGTTGAAAAGTTTCTAATTAAACACTGCTGAGAATTGACAGCATCGGAACAGCAAATAGTGAGACCCATCTTCTCATGGGTCACCCTCTTTTCCTAAATATACAGGTAATTGTTCCAGCATTAGCATCCCCTCCCCACAAAGGATGGCAAATACTACCAGGGTTATTTTGATTGCTTGCTTTTTGGTTTGCATTGGGTTTTTTGCATAAGCCCAGAGATCAAACCTCAGTTCTCATAATGCCCCGAACACTTTCACTGAGGTGCATCAGAGAAGAGGTAAACAGGCACCCTGTGTTCATATAGATTTTTATTAGGGCATTTGACAAGTTTACCTATACTTGCTGATCAACGCAGTTATCATCAGAGCAGCATTTGTCATAGTTTCTTAAATATATTTCCAGGACAAACAGCAGTGGATAGCCTGAAGCACATAATCGATGTAGCCAAAGTTACTTTATATATAAAGTACTGAAAATGAGCGAATAAAAAAGAGGCCGTGGCAGTGCTAAGAGATGCTGAACTGGAGCGCTACGGCCTGTAGATGCCACTCATCATCTTCGACTGCTGGCTTCACCTGGAGTTGACAGCTACCTGAACAGATGCATCTAAGCTGGCATCATCAGTGCAGCTCAGTACAGATGAGGGCAAAAAGGGCCAGCTTTTTAAGGGAAAGA